CTTACCCTGTTATAATAATATCCCTAGTCACCTCTTTGAGCCTGTTTAAACTTCTCTTTGTCATCCACATTATAAGCCTAGCCTTTAAATAAATCCTATCATTCACCCTTTCCTTTGAGCTTGTTGATTATTCTAGGATGCACGTTGAGTTGTGTTTGGAATTGGGAGGTGTATGGATATTTTCTATATTCTGTTTGTTGTCTCCAATGGAATTTTGTATCTATCGTTTAATGCAAAAAAAAAAATGAAAAAAAAAGAGAAAGAAATAAAGAGTGGAGACAAGAATGTTGATGGCAAATGGCAGATATATTTGAGATATTAAGTTAGAAGTTCTACAAGAGGATCCTAGAGTAATTGATGAGTTTAGGGAATTCAGAGCCTCATTGATATCCGTTTATCCTACCTTAATCCCTAGCCATTCAATTCAAGCTTAATAAAGTCCTATTGATCCTTGGTGGTTTGTTGACCGACATTAGTGGAGAGTGATAAGAAAAGTAAGCCTATGGAGTTTAAAAAAATCATAGATCTACCTTGATTCACTTAATTGCATAAACTCATCTAAGTTACATTTGGATGTGTAATTGATTATTCACACACACACATAAGGAGTCTTAGGGGGGGTTGAGATTAGCATTCGAGTTGAAATTCTAAACTTTCAAAAAGTTTAAAGTCTTTCTTGAGCTGTAACTTATGTGAGATCTCTGAGGCATTTTTTTTGTGAAACAACACCGGATCAATACTCAAGCAAGGTTCCATTTATTTATGTTTCGTATTATTCGTGTTTTCATTTCTTTTTAGTTTTCTTTCTTTCATTTTTTGTTTTGCTCGAGGACTAGCAAAATATTAAGTTTGGGGGTATTTGATGAGTGAGTTTTACTCGCTCATTTTAGTATCATTTTATACTTAATATCTAGTTGGTTTCGAGGTTTTTGTTAGTTTTTATGTGTGTTTTCGTTCTTTGTTTTAAGGATAGGTGGAAGTCTATGATTTGGAAGGTTTTGGACAAATTTCGGTGGAAAAAGAGAGCAATCATAGCGCTTAGGCGCCAATCTATAGCGTCTTGGCACTGAGTTTTATGAAATAAGCGTATTGGGCAGGACTGATGGCGTTTTGGCGCTAGTTTGCAGCGCTGCGGCGCTAAAATCCGGCAAAAATTGTGCACCGGGCAGAATGGGCAGCGCTTAGGCGCCCATTACAGCGCCGCAGCGTCCAGGAATTTGACACAGTAGCGCCGCAG